GCATTATGGAACCTGAAAGCTATATTGCAGCAGCAACTGATGTGTTATGGAATAAAGTTATGGAAGGTGAGTTGAGCATGATTGACAAAAACAATACACGACAGTTAGTTAATAGGCCATCAAATAAGCCTATCATTGGAGTAAGGTTGGTGTATAAAACTAAATTGAATCTTGATGGATCAATGCTAAAGAACAAAGCTAGATTAGTGACCAAGGGATATGCTCAAAAGCCTAGAATTGATTACATTGCGACTTTTGCACCAAATGCTAGGCTTGACACTGTCAGGACACTCATTGCTTTTGTTGCTAAAAAAAGTTGTAAATTATTCCAATTGGATGTCAAATCGGCCTTTCTAAATGGCATATTGAAGGAAGAAGTATATGTAGAGCAACCAAAAGGCTATGTGATTGAAGGAAAGGAAGTTAAGGTCTACAAATTGCATAAGGCTCTTTATGTTTTAAAACAAGCCCCTAGAGCTTGGTATGGGGAAATTGATTCATACTTCACAGAGTGTGGATTTCAGAAAAGCTCAAGTGAGGCAACACTCTATACAAAGTGCAATGCAAATGGAGGAATCATTATTGTCTCAATTTACGTAGATGACATACTCTACACAGGGAATGATTTTGAAATGATTCAGAAATTCAAAGAAGATATATGAGATGTCTGATCTTGATTTGTTGCACCATTTTCTAGGAATAGGAATTATGCAAATTGATAACAGCATATTCATTCACCAGAAGAAGTATGCAGTTTCTTTGCTTAGCAAGTTTGGGTTGTAGGATTACAAAATAGTGAGCACAACATTGGTTCCAAATGAAAAATTGAGAAATAAGGATGGGAATGGACTTGCAGATGAGTCAAAGTACAAACAAATTGTTGGAAGCTTGTTGTATCTCACAGTAACTATGCCGAATTTGATGTATGTAGCTAGTTTGTTAGCAAGATTCATGCACACTCCTTCCAACAAACATCTTGGTGCTGCAAGAAGAGTCTTAAGATATGTGCACAGAACTTTGCAGTATGGTTTAAAGTATGAAAAGGGGAAAGGGGCAGTCCTAATAGGATACTGTGATAGTGGTTGGAGTGGCTCAGAAGATGACATGAAAAGCACATTAGGCTATGCATTCTCATTTGGGAGTGGAATGCTTTCTTGGGCCTCAGTAAAACAAAGCTGTGCTGCACTATCCACAGTAGAAACTGAATATATCAGTGCATCAGAGGCAACCACTTAAGCTATTTGGCTTCGATTTGTTTTGGAAGACTTTGGTGAAATGCAAACATAAGCAACACGATTATGGTGTGACAATACATTTGCCATTGCAATCACTAAGAACCCTGTTTTCCATCAAAAAACAAAGCACATTGGTAGAAGGTACCATTTTATCAAGGATGCACTGCAGCAAGGAAAAATTGACTTGAAGTATTGTTCTACAAATGACCAAGTAGCTTGACATCTTTACTAAGTCTCTGTCAAGGAAAAGTAACTACTATTTGAGAAGTAGACTTGGAGAAAAATTAGTGCACAATTTAAAGGGTAGTGTTGAAATGTAAATGTGTTCACTAATTTATGTTGAATTTCGAGGTGTAATATTGTTATTGGAGAGTGTTGGTTAAGTAGCTCATAAGCTAGAGGAATGATAAATGTAATTAGCTCATAGGCTAGATTAAATGGAGAGTTGAGATTGATTGATATGTGTAGCTTTCTCTCTCCTCTAACGGTAATATGCTTGTACTGTTGTGAGCTCACAAGCTCATTGTATGAATGATCAATGAAGCATCACCTAGAGTAACATTCTTAGAGTGAAGGAATTTCCAGATTTTGTTCTTCCAATTTTGTGCTTCCATTTTTTCTTTCATTTTTCTACATTCATCACAAAGCATTTAGCTACAAATTTTAACACTTTGCACCTCTTGGCCGCTGCAAATCTCTAACGCCTATCATGAATTACCTGTATCCAGTGCACCTGATACATCGTCGTCCTTGTTGAACCTTTGATGTACCCGTATCAACCCTGGAACTCGCTCGTACCCAGAAGTTACCATTTACACCGGTTGTCTAACGAAGTCAGTAATGCCGCACCACTTTTTCTGCTGCAATTTTTCAACCTTGCTTGAAACCCAGAAAAAAAAAAAAAAAAAAAAAAAAAAAAAACTAATTGCTACACTGTCTAACGAGTGTTTGTGCTTTTTTTTTTTTTTTTGGGAGAAGAGAGGAAAAAACTGAAGAAAAGAAAGAGGAGAAAATGAAGAAAAACAATTGGGCCACTAGTTTCTTGTTTTGAGGGCCACATGGGCTGTTGTGATATATTTGAAGCTTGTTGTTGGAGTTTGCTTGCCCCGTCAATGCTGTCACTCGAGTCTTGGACTGGTGACCATTTTTGGAGTTTCTGAAAATGTTTTGTTTGTTTGTTTGTTGCTGTAGTTATGGGAATTATGTTCCTTTAGTAAGGGGCCATTCATACGCTTTCTTTCCATACTCCCAACATCCTTTCGTTGAATCTGTTTGCTAAAATATGCCAGCATTAGGGTCTTTCTGTCTAATGGAATCTGCCTGCCTGAATCTATCTACCATCTGCCATCTAAATCTATATCCATCAGCCACCTGTCTGAATATGGAATCTACATATCCGCCTAAGGGAGCTTGCCTGCCTAGGCCAAACGTATGTCATACTGTCATGAGTTTAATGGGGGTGTTGGAAAATAATAATACTTAGGTTCATTTTTAATGTTTGGGTTTAGGACGGTTTCGTAGCTTTAGCTCTCTATAAAGATAGCTTGTAGTTTAGTATGAGAACAAGTTAGTCACAGTGCAGTTCTCGAAGTTGTAGTCGTTTCGACAATCTTGTTTATTTATTTTGCATTAATAAAATAATGTTCATAGCTATATTTCATTCGTCCGTTTTTATTTTCAACTTTTTGCATTTGTAGAGTAAGTGAAATCTCTAAATGAGCGTATTTTGCTCCCCACCATTAATTGAGAGTAATGGTTACCACCTCTTTGATTATCATTAGATGAGTTTGATTTAACTTATTTATGATACAAATATCAAAATTTAAATTCATATGAGATGAAATATTTTGCTAAATGAGACAACATGATCACGTTCACCACTCAGTTTGATTGGTGAAATGATTTCGCACATCTTTTTATTTCTTTTGCAGATTCTGGTTTTCTTTCATGTCAATTGATTCATATTTGATTTATTCAATTTTAAAAACAAACTAAAATGCGCAGAAAGGAAAAAAAAAAAGGTGCGAAAATCATTTCTTAGCAGTAATCTCGTTGGAATAGTCTTAAGTTGTATACTTTCCTTTTTCTCAACCAATAGCAGGTGTATGTGGAAGTAACATTTCCATAATCATTCTTAAAAAAAAAGTTATTTAGCCAAATCACACAGCGTCTCTCCAATTAGTTTTTTTGAATGATTATGGATATAATCCAAAAAGAAAATGAACTTTTTAGTTAAAATGGTCTCTGAGTTTTAAATAACTTATCACTTTAGTTTATGACAATAAAATGAATAAAAGTAATTCCTGAATTTGTCAACTGTGATCATCCCATGAAAAATTTGTCAATTTCCTCATTAAATTGTCAAGTGAACGACCACATGGCCACCTTTTAAGGTATTTTTGTCATACTGACTCCTCCACTTAACAAGGATATTGACAAGTTTTTCACGGAGGGACCAAAATAATTTATGGTGAACAAACTCAGGAATCACTTGTATCGATTTTTATTGTCAAAGACAAAGTAAAAAATGTCAATCTCAAAATCATTTTAGCTCAAAAACCAAGAAAATGGTTATGGATAGAAAGGGTCAGATTCGTAGTTCTCGTGCCGTAGAATTAGATGATTAACAGAGAATTATCAATTTAGTTGTTACATAAATCTATATGTATGTTGTCTTTTTGTATGGATGAACCCCAAATATTAGAGACTTGCGAATTTAGATGATGAAGATCACGTCGTTAAAATTCCCAAAATATTTAACACGATGTAAAATAAATGCTCTTAACTATTTGAACTATTAGTTCTTATGGCTCGCCATATATTTAGCAAAGAACATGATCCGCATTCCACAATACCATGTGATTCTGCTTTAGGAAAATCTGACTAAAATGGCTTAGCAAATATATGTTAGATTCGAGCCCTTCTGTCTATGTTAGAGGTTTTCTCAACTTCGTTTGAGTGCTTCCAATTCCGGTACCTTGTTCCGGCACATTAGCTTTGACCAAGGTCGGTGGCAGCCCCATTCCCTTCACACCTGCTTTTCCCCTGCTGTTTCTCTGTTTCCCATTCCATGTGCCCCAATTTTAGCCGTGCTTTGCCCTAATTGGAAAACCCTTTTTTTCGATTTCCCTCTTATCCTTCCCTCCACTGTCTTTCCCCCTCCATGCATCCACTTGCTTCCTCTTCTTCCCCTTCCACTTGGCTTTGCCCTCTCTCGATTCCACCTGTGATTCGATCTACCGCTACTTTGTTCAACCATTGTTCACGGCTTTATCGGAAGGTGCGTAGAGCTCAGGCTCGGGTGTTCACACCACCACCTTCCACTTGTGTGTCGATCTCGACACTGTTGCCAATGATCTCACTGGTTTCCTTTCCCGGTTTATTCCCTTGGTGGTGGCAGATTGGTTCCTTCTGGGGTTTGATTAAGGACAATGACAACTTCTCAATTTGTGTTTGGGGCTTGGTTTGGTTTCTTCTCTGGCGGTTGCAAGGAAGCTGGTTTGTGGTCGTCAGGAAGTGATTCGGCGGCAGCAAGAGATCTTAGCAACTAGGGTTTGTTCAGTGTTTTCTGTTGTCTGCTCAACCCATAGGCTGGGCTTTTGTGGTTGTTGTTTTGGAGGCCCAACTTTTGTCTTGTGTTTTATGTGTATTTGGGCTTGTGTTTATGTAAGCTTCTTGTTGGTAAATGAATTTACCTCTTACCTTCCAAAAAAAATATTTGCATTCGACAATGTTTTACTTGGTACTGTTCCAGACTCCAGACCATGATAGATAAAAAGTATATGAATAGGAATTATTCATTACATTGGGATCTTATGAGTTGCTGAAAAGCTATATACAAACTATTCCTGTACAGAAACAGAGAAAGCACTTACATATTATGCAGATTGCGGTATTGTAGAGGATATCGCGTTAACGGAGATGGGTAAATATAACGATGATAGAGAAAAAAAATGACAGAGATAAGGCAGCATCTGATCATCTGCTACCCAAATGTGTTCTCGCCACTGTATGTAACATAAAGAAATCCATCTGCATCCTTCTTTTCATCATATATGGTAGACATTATTGCTCCTGCAAAAAATATGAAATACAGTCCTCATAATCTTTGAGAAAAAGGTGGGCACGATGTCATAACTTCTACAGATCCAAATATTATTGAAAAATTTAAGATTATATCCCACAATCTTACTGAACATCTTTCCAATTAACTTTACAGGAATAACACACTTTACCATGACCAATTGACCATCAACCATGATTGGTCATGGATTAAACACAAATCAGAGGGAGGGAGACGGAGTGAAGTGACACTAGATACCTGTAGCTGGGAGGACATCGTCTACAAATATGAAGATTGCCTTTTCTGCACTCAGTTTAATTCTCTTGCGGATGACATAGACAAATTGACCCACAGTCAAATCAGCTGGAACTAGGTATCTGCTACGTACCAAATGAAGTTATTAATATATTAAAAGCAGTTTAGCATTAAGTACCGAATACAACATATAGATTTGTACTGATAATAATAGAGAGAGCTTTAGAGCAAGTCCACCTATTTTAGGAGACCCTTACTATTTTTACTTTGAACAGTAATTGCCCTTGTGTAAGTCCACCCATTTGTTAAGGGAAAGGCACTATTCACAAATATATATTTTTAATCTTTTATGCTTCGTAAGTTTGTTCCATGAAAGTAAAATGATTGTCTAATTTCAATAATATATTTCAAATACAAGGAATGAAGAAGATGGTTAGGTATTTATAGAAAAAAAATTGGGTATTTTTTGTTTTTTCAAAACTTTTACCAATAGAATAATCCTGGCCGGTGAATTTCAAAATTATTTGTTGGATGCCCCCAGTTTACACCACGTGGCACGTGTAAAAAAAATTTCAATGGTCAACAATCCATACCAACTAACAGTTGGAAATCCAACGGCTTAAGTTTGGAGGAAAAAGAGCCACTTGGCTCTGAGTTGTGCACATGGGTTGGCCCCACACTATTGTCTCCTGTAGCTAGCAGGCACAAGCCCAGAGATAAGTTGTGGGGCAACTGAAAGGGCTTGTGCCCTTGGCCCAATTGCCCTCTGATTTTGCAACCGGTGGAGATTATTTTTTTGGGTACGGGGCAATTCAACCCACATGCCAAGGCTTCCATAGCACCGGTGGAGTTGCTCTTGGCCAACTAAGAATATTCATTACAAATAGGAAGTAATGTGAAACTGGTGCTTACTTTTTCCTGTCAATGTTGGGAATATCGCTTCTCTCTGCCTTTTCCACAATCACCTTCAAAGAACAAAAGATATAATTAAATAGAAGCAACGATTGGCATACCACAAGTGTGTTGACGCATTTGAACCGATATTACTAGTCATGTACACTGGTACTATTTAGAAAGAGATGAAGAAGTTCCATAATCTTGAGGGCTAACATTTGTAGACAACTCATATTTTCATACAATGCATATGTAGGAGGTAATGTTACTGATCTAAGTATCTAAGTGGATGAAAGTTCTATGATTTTCAAAGACAATTCATGATTCAGCCATTCCCTTTGATATAGCACCAACGTGCACAGGGAAACAGATCATCAACATACTACTTTCCGTCTAAAACTTAATCGCGTATAAAGCCACCTCGATACGCTAGTTCTGCTACTCATCATATCCAGGAAATGAAGTAAATAACATAAAAAAATAATAAATATCCATAACAGGTACAAATACACCTTGTAAGTGTTGAGAGAACTACTCAAACTTCAGCAGAATTTGTGCATCTTGCTTGAGACTACAATACCTAGAATTTTATGAGGAAGCAAACACCAAGAAACCTACAGTGCTATCCCACATTTTGATAGCACGTTGGTACTTGAAGTTTTTACTTGAAACACGAATTCCTTCAATGCAGTGTGAAACTGATTACTATGCGGGTTACAAAATTATAAAACATGATTGGAGCTATGAAATGTCAATATACACGCAACTAAGTGTTTAAGAGGCGGAAAAGAGAACTTATAGGATAAAGAAACACTAGACATTAACAAATAGCAAGGTAATAGCAAAATTCGGTACACAAAGAGAAGTGTGAACGAGAATATGTCAAATTAAAAGATTAAAGCTTGGTCCTTACTGGAATTCTGTCTGAATATTTCTCTCTAATCCTTGAGGCCTCAGCCTGTCTCTTCTCTGCATATAAAAGATACAGCACAATTACCAACTGATTCCGCAGACTTATAAACATCACAATTATAAATTCTGAAACTGATAAAATTGAATAGACTATACACAAGTATAAACAATTCAGCATATGAACACCAAAAACTTACCAAACTCATGTGCTTGCTTGAAGCTACTTTTGGTCATAACTCTACAATCCACTGCATAAAAAGGAGCAAACAATAACGGCAAACTATATATGTAATCTGCTCAAAAAACCCAAAAATTAAAATCAAATTAAAAATTGAGTAGAAGTCATGATCAAAGTGGTAAAATTCAAGAAAACATTCAAACCCCAGGAAAAAAGAACAAATTCTTTCAGAAAAATCAAGAAATTCAATCAGGTAAACAATCAATTAAGTATCTAATTCCCTTGGATGCCCTGAATAAATATAACAATCCAAGATAAACAATAACAATCCATAGTTATAATTTTCCTGTTTCTTTCTTCTTATTCTCGGGAAACAAACGAATCCAAAAACAAATAATTGAAGAAAACTTACAGAAAATATTGGGGAGGAGTGACAGAAAATCTGCTGAGTTCTTCTTCGCTTTGCAGACAAGAGACGTGCCTTCTCATCGAGTTCATGTACGTATAGCCCCGCGATTTAATAATCGGTTTTGTCTTCTCTTTCTTCGGTGAGGTTTGGTCCACTGTGGCGGTGACCAATGAGAGCTTGGCATATCAGACTAAGAGATTGGTCCAATTGAAGGCAAAATTGGCTATCATTTAGGGGTAGGCACGGTCAGATTCAACTTGGTTTCACCCTCAAAATGAAACTAAGATCGGAAAATTTCAACGGTTCAGTTCGGTGCGGTTCTGCTTAAATTTATTACTAAAACTGTATGGTTTGGTTTATGCCGATTTGCGGGTCTAACCAAAATTATATATATGTTTTTTTTCTTCTAATTTTGTACTTCTAATACCAAACACATATTTCAACCACAAATTCAAGTAAATTTGAGTTTCCACTACTAGATCTACAAGATTTGTGACCAGATGATAGAAAGTGTGCATATAAATATAAATCAAAGGATAGAAAGGCTCATATCAAGATCAAAGTGTAGATCTTAAACTAAAAACTAAAATATACATAATGCATAATATACTGAAAAAGAATGGAGAAAAATAATGTAGGGGGTGAAAAGTGATAAAACAACAAAGAAGGGAGAGAGAAGTGAAGAAAAATATTGGGATTATGCACATGGTCTTCTTGGAAAAATGTCTTATTTATATAAAAATAATAATAAATCAATACTTTATATGAAAAGCGGTTTGGTCCGGTGCCTCTGGTTCTTACTATTTCCAAACCGAAATCGGAACCATTTGAAATGGTTCGGTTTTTCTTCCGATTTTGACTTTCTTGGTCAACGCGGTTTTTTACGGTTTTTTTTTTGTCACTGATTTGATTCGGTTTTCTGGTTTGGCGGTTTTTATGCCCACCCCCTACGTGTATTGGCATTTTAATACTACGACTTAGGATCATTTCTAATCGAGTCGTCCATAGGACCATAAATCAAAGGATGGTTTTTTTTTTTTTTTTTTTTTTACACAAAATTTATCTCCAATAAAGGTTTGGGCAAAAAACTCTTGGGACCTACGGTGCCAAAATCCAGCCATATGGCTAGTGGACTGGCCATCTTTAGCCAGCTACCCCCATCAGTTAGGCCCAGCTAGATTTTTTTTTTGAGACGAAATTAAAAATTGTAAGTTTTTCCTATAAATACTTAAAACATTTTTACACCATTTCTCACATCTTTTTAACTATTTCATACTATCTTACTTATTTTATTTCAATTCTTCACATTCTATCCACTTCAAACACTCTGTTCATACACATCCCTACCTCTTCCAATAATCTTTCCTTTAATTTTTTTTCAATAATTTTCAAATGGCCACATCTTTAATTGGCACTTAAAATATGTCCGGAAACTCTATTTTAATATGATAGTTTAATTCAATTAATCAATAAAATTTAAGAACAAACTTAAAATAATAAATTATTGAGGGGGCAAAAATAGACCCCTCCAATTGGAGATGGTATATAAATACGGCCTAACACTATTCATTGAAAAATATATTTTTTGTAGGGCTATAATTTGGACGGGGACAAAACATTGCCCCTTCGGTTGAAGATGGCCTTAGTATCACGATTCGAGCACTGAAGTTTGAATTTTGTGGATCGAGAGTTCTTAACTAAATCTCACCCCTTAGTTTAAATATCTAATTGATGTGTGTAGACCTGACAATTTAATACACGACCCGTTAACACGACATGAAAATAACGGGTTTCGAGTCAACACGATAGCTAATCGGGTCACACGATAATAACCCGTTGATAATGGGTCCTTAACAGGTTTACACGAGAGTAACACGCGGGTAACCTGTTTCAACACGATAAGAAAAAAGTTATTTTAATGATTTTAATTTTTTAAACTACTAAAAAAAGCTTACTATAAAATGCAATAGATATAATGAATATGTATATATTGTTTATTAATTATTATTCTATATAAATTTTAAAATTTAAGTTTTATTTATTTATTTATTTTTATAGTATATTATAGGCAAAGATTGAGATTAAAAATCATAAAACACATTAAAAATAAAAATATCAAGTAATTTAAAAATACCAAACACATAAAAAAATTATAATAATTAATTTACATGTGCTAAAAATATGAAAAAAAATATACAAACGCTCGTAGTCGCATCCTGTACGCTTTGAGAATGGGTATATGATCGTTTGAATTTTTTAAACCATACAAACTCTCATGGATAGTATTTTTAAGGGAGTTCAAAATAGACAAAATTCATAATCATTAATGTACAAGTCTGAAAGATGTGAAAGTATAATAAACGTTCATAATTGCATCCTCAACGCTTAGATGATGGTTACATGGTCATTTAGATTTTTAAAACCCTCTAAATCTCATGAACAATGTTATTTATTTGAGTGCAAAATTAATAATAATTATCGTAGAAGTGTGAAAAATGTAATCGCTCGTAATGAAAAGCTTTACAACTTTCATGAAGGGGTCAACTCTGAAATTTAGTATGTATATACTAATTTACTATTACGTTTTACATTTTTTTGGGTCAAATTATGTTTTTTATTTTCATTTTTATTGATTTAAAATATATTTTTCTTAACGGGGTAACGGGTTGGGTCATATTACTTGATAATATTAACGGGTTGATTTCGGGTCGAGTCATATTACCTGTTTACTTTAATGGGTATTACACGACATGATCCGTTAAGTTATCGGGTATGACACGAAAACGAGACGAACATGAGAAACACGACATGAACGCTAGGTCTAAGTGTGTGTGTGTGTGTGTGTATCTCGATATCAAATTGGTGGAAGTTTCAAGTTGTGTCTAGTTTTAAGATCGAAATATTTTGCAGCGTGTTGAAGTTTTTAGTGTGAGGCACTCGAGGATTGGGGTAAGTAACATTTAGAGATTGTTCGATAATTATTTTATTTTTAACTTTTAAACTTAAATAGTTACTAAAAAAGTTTCAGTTTCCCATTTTAACAAGAAGTAAAAAATGATGACGAACTAGTTATGAAATGGCTCCTAAGCAAATTGTTTTAACTGACTATATGTTTTGAAAGCAAATTTAGGATTAAACACTTGGAGGTGAAATTCTATGGTAGCCTTTAATAAATATTAGGTATCAGTGTCATTTAAGTTGAACGTTGATAGTATAATGCAATCACGTTAAGTATTTATAATATTTTACTTTTACAATGTAATATGATTATGGTAAGGTTCTAATTAATAACACATCATGACATTACTTTACTTTAGTCTAAAGAAGGGATTCTAATTGCACTGTTCAAATGAACAGCGTTTTGTGATGGATTTTGAGTTTCTACTTTTAGTAATTAGAGCTATTATTCTTATCTGTTTTTGGATTGTACTGTGCCATTCGATCCTCTCCTAAATGGAAAGGATCGTAGCCTCTGATGGCCTGAATGGCTAGAGATGTGTTCTTGCTCCCTGAAATGTAGGATCTGGGCATTTGACTGTTTTTGGGGTTATAGACTTGCATATTCTTCTTCGATTTCAATTTAAGAAAATCTACTGAGCATTCACTACTCTCTGTGTTCATCCTTCTCTACCATTTTATCTACCATAAAGCTTCAACCTTTATCTGTTAATCAACCTAAGAAACCATGCCTAATACCATTTGAATAGGTATTGGGACGTTGTTTGGAACAGAGCTGGAGGTGACGATGTGGTGGAAAAGTAAGTCCTCTTACTTTCGTCTCTACCTAGATTATTACATAATCTTTCCAACTTTGACTAAAATTCATATCCACAACTCATTTGCTGGCTACAAGGACTGGATATAGAGTAATGGTTCAATAATGGTTTTAGAATGGTAAATGATTGCAGAAGCAACATGGAATTCAATAGTTGATATTTTGACTATAAGATGAGTTTCATCCCTGCCTTAATTCACTTAAATCACGTGATTTCATGCCTCTTTTTGTTCTGATTCTGAGAGTTTGGGATGGATTGTGGTTTAAATTTTTGCTTTGATATGCCTCTAGATAGCCACCACCACCACTGGTCCAAATCCGACGGCGCGCGCTGTAGCATCTGCGTGAATGTCCCCGCACAACTGGACTCCGGGACGTTTTCCAAATAAACTTCAGACTCCAAAGGGTGCGGCTGAAAGGGTAGAATCTGAGGCAATCAAATCCAATCCAGGGAAGAGATTGGATAATTTCTGAGGTGTGGCTTTCTATTTTTAATCAAGTTTTTCTTTTTACGAAATTGTAAAACCACTTCAATTTTTCCGCAATGGTGTTGGTAAACTGCGCAGGCTAATCCGGAGAATACAGTTGGGGTATTGACAATGGCAGGCAAAGGGGTTCGGGTTTTGGCTACTCCAACCTCTGATCTTGTCAGGATTTTGGCATGCATGCAAGGCATAGTTCTCAATTCATAACTAATTTGTTTGTGTGATTCGATTTGAATTCGAAATTTTACATGTTTATCTTATTTGTAGAGTAGCTGATGAATCTTTATCAATGAAGCAGTTGGAATGGTTTTGTTGAATGTGTATGATCATTGTCTAGGGGGGAACATTATAATCCAAAGCTGTAACTTGAGTTTTGGAGTGAAACTCGAAAAAGCTTTAGTACTAAATATTATCGTGTATGAATATGATTATAATCTAAAGCTGAAACTTGAGGTTTTGGAGTGAAACTCAAAAGAGCTTTAATACTAGGTGATGAGTCCATATTATTCTATATACTTTACCCTAATCTTAGTTATAGTTTATTGGTTATTTTGGTAGAATTTTGATACTTTGTTATGTATTTTCAATGTAGAACATTTGACTTCCTCTTAAGCAAAAAATGATTAAACGGATGAATTTTGGAGTGATTCCAATTGGAGGATGTTTGTGATTCTTTCAAGATGATTGTGTCAAAATTCCAAAATTTACTACCAGGCCGTTTGAAAAATAAAGGCCCAGTACGCAGCTTTCCCAGATTAATGTTTCTGGACGTTTTGGGTATTTTAGAGGTCAAGATGACACATTATTTTAGTACTAAATATTATCGTGTATGAATATGATTATAATCTAAAGCTGAAACTTGAGGTTTTGGAGTGAAACTCAAAAGAGGTTTAATACTAGGTGATGAGTCCATATTATTCTATATACTTTACCCTAGTCTTAGTTATAGTTTATTGGATATTTTGGTAGAATTTTGATACTTTGTTATGTACTTTCAATGTAGGACATTTGACTTTCTCTTAAGCAAAAAATGATCAAACAGATAAATTTTGGAGTGATTCCAATTGGAGGATGTTTGTGATTCTTTCAAGATGATTGTGTCAAAATTCCAAAATTTTCTACCAAGCCGTTTGACAAATAAAGGCCCAGCACGCAGCTTTCCCAGATTGATGTTTCTGGACGTTTTGAGTATTTTAGAGGTCAAGATGACATATTTTGAGGAAGATTCCTTTTGAGGATTTGTAGGAGATGCCCTTAGCTTTCAAAAAAGACGTTTTGGGACCAAATCAGAGTTGATTTGGTTGGTCAAAAGTGTGATTTTCTAAGAAGTCCAAATTTCAATTTAAATAGGAAACCTTTTATTTCCTAGTTATCTTATTCTATTATGTTTCTTAGTTTTTAGAAGACCTTTTCTAGGTAGGATTTTATTTTGTATTAGTATAAATAAGACTATTTAGCCAATAGAAAAGAACGAACGCATCAATTTGGAGAACTTAGCTAGGCTTTGACGACTTGTATTTCAAGGCGTTTTCTATCTTTTTTCTATTTCAATAAAATTCCTTTTGTTTTATGGTTCGTAACTAATTTCCATTTGCTAGGGTGATGCCTTGAGCCTTAGCATGAATATGTAGTTTTTATTTAATTGCTTATAATATTATGCATGCATGCTTTGAATTATTAATCACTTTGTTTAAGCTGTCTCTATATTTTAATGCTTAGCTACTATTAGGATGTTTAGATAAGTAATCGGATGCAATTCGATCGGAATGCCACCGGAGGATTGAATATTTCTTTTTGTGATTGATAGTTGTAAGTTCACCTAGGGCGAATGCCACGTCTTAGAGGTTGCATGGTTTTTCAAAAGGTTTTCACAAAGCGTAATGAGTCATGCATGTTTATATTTGATCTGAATGTCATAGACGGATTGATGTTTGATATACGTTCTACCTTGAATGCCACAAGTAGAATATGCACTAGGAAAATCTAACCTTCAAAGTTGCATGTGTAATTCATAAGTGATTGGTAAAACAACATAAGTTGTTGAGGTGATAGCGTAATCCTATTGTCCTTTTATCATTATTTTCTAAGATTGTTCCCTTTTCAAATTGGTTTCTTTAATTGTTTTTCTTTAGTTATTTTTAATTAAATTCGTTTTTAATATTTTAGGTCATAAAATCAACCTCTTCCAAACTTTGTTTTCAAATAATTAATTAAGATTTTGTATTTACATAAATTATTCTTTCAATTCCTGTGGAAAACGACCTTACTTGAGCTGTTTATGTTACAACTATCTTATTCTCTTGCAAGTATTTTTAAGTGTTTTCATCCCTACTTTTGCAGGTGGTAAACAACCATATCAAGAAATTGGCGTCGTCGCCAGGGAATTGTTTTACATAATTTGTGTTTATCATATTCTTAGTTAATTATTATTGTACATACATATAATTTTTTATTTAATTGCTAATTGTTGCAGTCATATTTAGAATAGGAATGTGATTGTGTAAATCCTAGGAAATATGAGAAAGTATCTTATATTCCTATTAGGACTAGGTTACCTATTAAATGTTGTAATCCTAAAGCGAAAAGTTTTTATCTATCCTACTACTGTAAATAAAGGCAAAATGGGGTGAATCAAACACACCTCACAATTAAATCAATCTCTCTTCTCTCTTATTGTAGTCGGCTTCCCTCTCACTCTAGACCGTATATCGTTCAATCAAATAGGCCTACAACACGTTATCAGCATGCTCTTGCCAGAAGTTGAGGAATTGACGCATCGTAGAGGAGGCTATCATCCACCAAAATCAAAGGCTTCTTCATTTTCTGCTAATCAGGTACGCTTAAAATAAAAAAGATATTTGAAACGTCCAGGAAGCATGAAAACATTCCCCATGATGCATGAACCCTCTATGTTTATATTTTCCTTTCGATATATATATATATATATATATATATTGTATATGTTTATATATTTGTTTCATGCATCGCACAATTAAATTGTTATGTGGAATTTGTGAGTCAAACTATACAAAATTAATTAGAAGCATATTTAGGGGTTTTCCTAAAACCTAAGGGATTTGAAAAAAAAAAAAAAGGGATTGGACATGGTGCAGCATACCACCGCACCATCACTGTGGAAGCAGTCACCAGGCCTTAGCCTGGCACTCACCTTAGCAGGACCTGAAGTCCCATGCCCATCCTGCTGCATTGGCTCGCAACCATGACACTAGCTTTTTTGAGGCTGGGCCTTCACTCGAACCCATATGCCAGCCCACGGGGTTGGGTTTTTGTCATTTCGTGCATCACCCACAAAGCCAGCTCCTGCTGGGCCTTGTCCCGTGCACCCTCCTTCGGCCCAAACGAAAACCCCACTACGGCTGGGGGATTTCTTTCACCTCGTGGCTTGTAACCATGACCCGAGGTCTTTTTTTGGGCCTTGCCTTATACTTAAGGCACCTAACCCGTGCCTCTTACCCACGACACCAAGCCCAAATTATTTTGGGGCTATATCTTCAATCCAATAATATTATTTTAATATTATCTAGCTTCTACAATCGACCTCGTATGGCCCAATTTATTGAATTAATTAAAAGTGATATGTAGTCCATTAATTTGATAATGAATAAAAAATTATTGACTTGAAGATCACTTTTGGACATTAACGATTCAATAATTTATTTTTATACCTTGAACTGTCACATACTTTTGTAGTAACGAAGCTCTTACACTTGAGTTGCCGAAGAACCCCAAATCCACTATATTCAAATTAGTATATTGCATTTTGTGTTTCTTGCAGGAACCTCTCATTATGAACTAATTGTTCATAAAACTAAATTGAACCTGTAGTTTCAAATTTAGTGCTTTTGAAACCCGAAGTTTTCATTCAAAACGTACCACATGAAACTTATAGTTTTCATGCATAAATTAAACTAATACATGTCTATAGAACTTATATGTTCTACGATATATGTCTATAGCTTACCATATGACTACTCACGTTTTCCCTTTGTTTTAGGGACATGTTGAACTTGAACAAGCTTGATTTCTCCTCTCTAGAAGTCTCTGGAAGAAACTATCTAAAGTGGGTTCAAGACGTGAAGCTCCATTTAATTGCAAAGGGCATTAGAGCCACCATCGAGGCACCTATCCTCAACAAACTTGTTGTCGAAGCTCAGAAGGCTACTGCAATGATCTTCATTTGAAGATACATCTATGCTGCATTGCAGATTGAGTATCTTGTTGAAGAGGACCCACGCACCCTCTGGCTTGCTCTGGTTGACCGTTTCGATCACCAAAAAGACATATACTTGCCTGAAGCAAGACACAACTGGCAGCATCTTCGCTTCCAGGACTTTAAGTCTGTGAACGAATACAACTCTAAAGTTTGTAGAATCCGTTATTTGTTAAAATTTTGCAAAGTGGAAATAACCGAATCAGATCTCTTAGAGAAGACCTATTCGACTTTCCATGCCACCAATAGTGTCCTGTAGCAACAATATAGGGCACATAAATTCACCAAGTTTTTGGATTTGATCTATGTTTTACTTATCTCTGAAAAGCAGAACCAACTTCTGATGAAGAATCATCAAGCTCGAACGTCGCGCGTGAAGCGCATGCGACCTATTCTAGCAGCCATCAACGATGAACGAATCGTCGTGGTCAGTGGTAATGGATGACAAATCCAACCACGGGCCCAAGGTCAACAGAGTGCCGTACCTAAGGAAAGAAAATGTGATCTAGCAACGTCCATCACTCGTCCCTAAGGCCCTAAACTTCAAGAACAAGAGCAAAGCTCTCGTTCAGCCCGCTTCTACTAAACTGGACATTTGCTATCGCTATGGATTAAGGGATCATTGGTCACGCGTATGCCGAGCTTCCTCTGAGGCTATTGCCAAGTATCATTCTCGTTGTGAGTCTAACTTTGCACATGTGGATCATCCGGAAGATGCAACTACATCAATGAAGATATCAGATTTTCAGGAGGAGTCATCGCCTATGGATGAATAAATTAGACATGTTTTTAGGGTGTTTACCTCTAGTGGTCGAACCCACCAGGAGTGGTCGGCCCTACCCCCCTATTTTGCTAGGTTTATGGTTTAATTTTGAACAATTTTCCTAAGTATTTGGAATAATTTGTTTGGTTTTGGTTTGTTTTGAATTATGGATTGTTATTTGAATGGTTATTATTATCTCGAATTGCTTAATTGAATGAATGGACTTATATCTATGCATGTGACCAATTCAATCAATTTATTTCTAGGTATGTCTAGTAGGGAAGTTAGTTGTCTTGCAGATACTGCAACCACGCACACCATCTTGC